AACGGTTAAAGAGGAGAAACTCACACTATAAGAGTGGGAGGTCCGACTTGCAATCGGTTCGGCGGACCGAACAGAGAGAGCACACATCTGAATCTCACAGTTTTTCTTCCTGGGGTCCAGGTCGCCATGCCCCAATTAGCTGTGATTGGTTAACAGTTTCCCCATCAGTGGTGCTTTCAACTGAATTCTTATTTAATTTACAGAAACATGAGGAGCTAGTAGCTCATGGGTGATGTGCATTCAAAAAGAAAAGAAAGGACACAAGTATTCACTTGTTAGTCCTCCCTGAGAAGGCTGGCTGTTTTCAGCTACATGTGGCAGGGCTGTGCTATGTAGCAAAGGCTTTCTGGAGGCATCTGGAAAGAAGAGCTGGGCACCTGGCTCCATGATGGGGACTGTCACTACAGATCATTCGAGTAGATTAGGAACAACACGAAGCATGGCTTCAAAGAGCAAAGAGCTAAGGCGCTCTAGTCCACCAGCTCCTGCTGGCTGCACTGGGCAGAAAGAGCTCAACATTCTGGAAATCAGGGCTTCTTGCAGACCGAACCTACAGACAGGGTTCCTGGAATTCAGATTTGAATACTGTCCAACTTCCTCCTTCACAGAGCTGGCAACAGACGAGGACAATACTGAATGGTGGGCCGGGCTGCCTTTAACATCCAGTAGGGAAAAAGGCAGTTTCGCAAAGGTCTGACATTCGGGGTAACTGGAAGGAACTAACGCACATGGCAGCAAACCAGGATGAAGGCTTCCTCTTCATACCAATCTGCCGCTGCTGTTGTTGCTGCTAATACTGCCAGGTGAGCAGCTCAATCACTGCCAGTCTCATACTGCCTGAAGAGCTGGCAAGACCCAAGTGGAAAGCCAAGAAAATCTGACATTCAGACCCAGAAGCCCTAGAAACTTAATTCTACCCACAACCAACGATGTCAACAAGATTCCAAATCCAGTCCCACCTAACACTTGCCATGAGACTTAGCAGAACATCTGCTAAGCCATCGTTATGTACCTCTGGATCCTGGGAGCAGAAGTGCTGCCCCATAGCCCATCTTTGTAGCAGCTTCTCAGAGTACACTGAATTGTGCAGGGGGTGCTGTGGTACCAAAGCCTACAGAAGGCAGCTGCTTCAGATCCCAGCAGTTGGAAGGAAAGTTAAAAAGAAACAGCGATTCATGTGTTCCCCTTGAGTCTTCCCTGTTATTTAGCTTCTTTGGATCTATGGATTGTAACATGATTATCCCTTACTTTACGTGAATCTTACCGTGAAGTGGAAAGAGAGTAGACATCACAGGTAGACAGGAAAGAGGTCTGGATGGAGAGGTGTGCATGGGAACAGAAGGGCCAGGTTGGTGAGGATGGAGGGAGAGAGCACTGGGAAAGACAACTGGAATCAGGGGCATCTCTGGGATGAGCTAGAAACCTGGTGCGATGGGAACTCCTAGGAGTCTATGAGGGTGACTCAGCTAAGACTCCTAGCAATGGCAATGCAGAACATGAACTGGCCATCTCCTGTGAAGAGACTGGGACCCCAACCCAGCCACATAACCTCTGATTTACAATTTACTCTGCCTATGAGATATTCTGAGACAAAGGTGGCACAAAAATTATGGGACTGGCCAACCAATGATTAGTCCAGCTTAAGACCCAAACTATGAAAGGGAGCCCACCCCTGGCACTGTCTGGAGAGCCAGGACCCAGAGGCTAGACAGCCCAGAGACCTAGGATAGAAGCAAATACGACTGGCAAAAAGGAAGAAGAAGCCAATGAAATAACTTCTCATGATATTCTGCTATACTCATAGATAGCTGCCCAGCTTTACCCAACAACTGATGGAAACAGATGCAGAGACCCATGGCTAAACATTAGGTTAGCCCTCAGGGAATCCTGTGGAGGAGAAGGAAAAAGGCTTGTGGGAGCCAAAAGGGTCAAGAAAACACACAGGATCCGCTAACGTGGGCTTGTAGGGGCTCACAGAGACTGAAATGAACATAGGGCCAACCAGAGAACTTGTGTGGGACTGACCCAGACCTCTGCACATGTGTTACTGCTGTGGAGCCTGGTCTTTTTGTGAGGTTTCTAACAGAGGGAGCAGAGGTTGTCTTTAATTCTGTTGCCTGCTTTTGGGACTCTTACTGGATTGCCTCGTCCAGTCTTAATAGGAGAGGAGGAGCCTAGTCTTACCGCAACTTGATATCAGCCATTGCTGGCTGATATATGTGGGAGGCCTGGACTTTTCTGAAGGGAAAGGGGAAGAAGTGGATGGGGGAAGAGAGGGGCAGAGACTGGGAGGAGATGACAGAGGGAGCAGAAACTGTAATCAGGCTGAGAAAAAAAATTAATTTTAAAAATGGAAATAAAGTCAGGTGGTGGTGGCGTATGCCTTGAATCCCAGCACTCGGGAGGCAGAGACAGGTGGATCTCTGTGAGTTCAAGGCCAGCCTGGTCTACAGAGCTAGTTCCAGAATAGGCTCCAAAGCTATAGAACAACCCTATCTCAAAAAGCCAAAAAGAAGGGGGCTGGAGAGATGGTTCAGTGGTTAAGAGCATCGCCTGCTCTTCCAAAGGTCCTGAGTTCAATTCCCAGCAACCACATGGTGGCTCACAACCATCTGTAATGAGGCCTGGTGCCCTCTACTGGCCTGCAGGCATATACAGCCAGAATATTGCATACATAATAAAACTAAATATTTTTTTAAAAAGCCAAAAAGAAATGGAGATCAACAAAAATGGTATGAATTCAACAGTCCATTACAGAGTCCATGACAGGCATCAAGGCCTAGCAGGAAGTGAGAAGTACTCACAAGCTGGCAGAAGACACAGCAAGGCTGCCCCAGCCTCAGCCT